ATTGATAACCAGTCAGCCATCGCTCTCACAAAGAATCCGGTATTCCACGGTCGTAGTAAGCACATACATAGGAGGTATCACTTTATAAGAGAGTGTGTGGAGAACGGACAAATAGAGGTTGCCCATGTTCCGGGAGATGAGCAAAAGGCGGACATTCTAACGAAAGCACTTGGGAAAATTAAGTTCAAGGAGATGAGAGAGCTCATTGGAGTTAGAGACATGGAACGAGACGACTTCAAGCTTAAGCGGGAGAATGTTGGAGTAAGCTTGAAGTTAACTTAAACCGGAAGTTTCTAGAAGACCAAAACCGAGTTATGGTTTGTTAGAGATAAAGATCAAATATTAGGAGTTATCTAATATTTGATGTAATCTTAGTGAGATTAGGATTAAGAGAGTCTTATAAATAGAGGGTTGAGTTATGACCTAAACATATGAGTTTTGAGAGTTTTGGTTTTGAGAGAGATTAAGAGAGTTTGAGTTTTGAGTTATTTTCTTAAACTAATAAAGTGAGTTATACTTTAAATCTTGTTGATCTTAAAACCTTAAATTTCGTTCTACATTTATTACTAGTACTTCCTTTTTTAAGAACTACTACAAATGTATTACTATATCGACTAATTAATTAGCCTGTTGTTAGCTGAATTTATTTTGTATGGCTGAAAGTTCAAGAATATTAAAAAATAAATATATAATATCTGCAACTGGAAAGGAGAGTAGGGCCATGAAATTGGGACCAGGTCACCAACGCGTCATGAGAGCGACCATTATTATTTCCTTAAAGGAATTTGCATAGTATTTTCTATTTTATACACACACAAAAATAGATTTGACACTGACACCATACAAATGATAACGCAAAAAACACCATGAATATCGATGATGTAAATCATTTCTGTTCATTGTTTTCACATATAAAGTAAGATAAATGAATTTGACTCATCATATTCAACCAACTTTTTATTTTATTTTGGAACTAAAGCAATTTCGAACATCATCAAAGACCTTCTTTATTATGTCATGAGACCCTTGTTCTAAAAATCCCCGCCTAGACCCGATTACTCCCCGTTTAATCGCTAGGCCCACCCTATCCGCCTCGATTAATGACTAATCCTCTAAAGAAATCAGTCATCCGATTACTCTCCGCCTAATCCGATTACTTCCCGCCTAATCCGATTATTCTCCGCCTAATCTTACATACCCCGATTATTTTTAGATTGCTAGTATAAAAAAACTTTTAATTTTTGTTATTCAATCATTTGAATTGGGACTTTGTAATGTTTTACAATAACTTATGTTCAAATTTTAATAAAAATCATAAATTTGTAATAAAAATCATAAAAATTTGTCTCAAAAATACATTTTTATGTATTTACTGCAATTTTGAAAATAATATTGGATTGATATGTTTTAAGAATATTAAAATAACCCTAAAACTAATCCCCGATTAATCCTCGATTTTAATCCGATTTTCCGACTAATCGCTAGGCCCATGCCGAGCGCCCGACTAGCGCCTAGCGATTTTTCAAACAAGGCATGAGACTAATGAGAAAGATACGTTACGAAAATAGAAACAAAAGTTACAAAACCGTCACATTAAAATAAATATAGAATTTTAACAAAAAAAATAAATAATAATAATAATACTTATAGAAACCAAATTAAACCAACCAGAAAACTTAGTTTGGTTTTCTTGAAATCATTGCATTCTTTTTCTTATATATTATTGTATTTTACAACTAATGGAGGTACTGAAATACATTTTGAAGGAAATATAAGATTAATGTTGTTAATAGAAATTTATTCTTTGTTGGTCGTAACAAAGTAAGAAACTACATACGCTCATCATCATAAAATTGCTCAGAAAAACGGAAGCAAATGACATGGTTTACGAGATCACGTTTTGATCACACACCGCATCGAATGAAAATACAAATCAGCAACAACAAACAACAACAAAAAAGTATATATTATACGAAATAAATGTATAAAATGAATCGGTCGATGTCAATAAGTATAGAACTCAGCCAATTCTTCGACGGATCCTCCTTCTTGACCAGACTTGAGCATCCACAACAAGTGCTCGAACAAAACGACTTCACAAGCTACAACAATTTCACGATCTTGCTCGACGGATCTAGAAGAAGACCGATCCACGAGTTCTTGAAAGAGTGGATGAGAGATGATGTCTGGTCTAAGCATGTAAGGTCTTCGAGTTTGACCAACATAAACCACATGGAGATTGTTGTCCTCTGAAAGCTCGTCCGAAACAGCCGCTGAGGAGGTTGAATGGTGGTGGTTCTTGGCGAAAGAAGGCCATTTCTTCATAGCCGACTTGAGCTTTGTCAGCTTCCCAACTTTGGCCATTGCTAATGATATAACTGATCTTTTTTCTTGGATTTAAAACAAGAGAGTTGTTGAAACTAGCTAGGGTTTAGGGTTTACGAGGAGATTTATATGTGTTGATGTGAGTGTGTGTGGGGATCAAAATATTGGAAGAAGAAGAGAGGAATGTTTGAGAGATGTTCTTGGGAGGAAATAACGAGGAAGGTTCGTGTATATATATTGAGTGAAATAGAGAGAGAACGTATAAGTGCATGACCCACCGATTGATGCATAACAGCTAAGAGAGATGAGGACATATATGGCAAAACTAGTATCGTTTTTGCCCATTGTTTTTTCCGTTTTTTTGTATCCTGTAATTATAAACAGAGATTCGTAATAATTTTAATTTTGTAACAAATTTTGTTATATTAATTTATTTATTTTCATGTGATTTATTTCATCAGTTGATATATATGAAAAATGTATAAAAATGATTTATTAATGACGGAATGATAACATACGACAAGAAGTTTGATATGTAATAAGAAAAAATAGATTAATACGTAAATGTTCTAGATAAAAACACCACAGATGTTAACCATGATTAGACCATTTATCTGGATATATATATATACATTATAAAAATTAATCTATTTTAACATGACAAAAACTAGTAGTATTGAATTATTTGATACTATATACACTATTTATCTTACCTGTGACATTTTGTTTTGCCTACATAAATGTCAGACACCACAAATCCAGTTTTGAAAATCCTTGATAAATATTCATGTTTGTTGTATAAGTTTTTTTGAATTGTATGTTATGATGTATTATAGTATATAATAATTTGTAGAAATATACGTATACGTGCGGTGTGTGTAGAGATGTGTAGGCAACCTCTTATTGCGTGTTGTTGTCTAATGATCGGACAAAGAGTGATGTTTTTTAGATAACGATTACATCTTGTCCACAATTTTGTTCACTATTACCCGATAATGCTAATTTTTTGTCGTTCATATTATCATGTAGTATATAGAAAACAAGTATGGTCTTCATCTGTCGATTAACTTTGATTTTCTTCATTTCGTATTAATAACATATATTATATAATGAACTTTCAAAAACCATACTACAAAATTAACGAAGAATCCTAAAATCATATAAATAAATTGCACGATATTTAAGCAAATTAAAATAGGTTTTATTGACGGATGCAAAAACCAATCACAAGGCATATTATGTTCTTTTAACAAAATAAAGTCCTTTTATATAGTGCAAAGACATAATTTTCAATTATAAATATTGTTCATTTTTTTCATAAAGTTTGTTTGGTATTTCCGAGAAATTAGGTGGAGAAGACCTTACCGTCTGTCTTTTATCGAACACAAAAAGTTGTGGATGGTAAGCTAATCATTTTAAGGAATTTTAGATACTTCTTTTTTATAAATGGTCGAACATATACTTGTTTATGGCAAAAGAAATAAAATAGTAATGTAGTACTCACTCATCATTAGACATTAGATAACTGTCTTATCTTAATATACTTATGTAATTATTCTAACGATTTGATCAAGAGTGAATTTTTCTTTTTGAATAGTGAGAATTTTAATGAATTTTTGAAGATTTAAAGAAAGGAAAATGGCACATGCACACACACACGCACATATATATTATATATATATATATATATGCATATATATATATATATATATATATATATATATATATATATATATATATATATATATACTAGCATCACACGAAACAAACAAGCAATCTGAATATTGGAATACTAATTACTTCCGATTCGTCATCATTGTACTGATTAGCATAAATCGAGTTATGATATACCTTAATTATATAAAGGTAGCAACATGAATTTACTCAATATTCTAAGGTATAGTACTTTTAGAAATACATTCTTTTGGATTAGTTTAGATATTACTTAAAAAGTTAGGAACTTATTTAAGAGAAATTTTAGATTAGTTGTATTGAAAACAAGCTAGGGTCCAAAATTAAAGTAGAGACAAGCCAGTTGGGATGTTGTTGTTCATGTAAGTGCGCGACAATTGTGCAACTAATCTACTTTAATTTTGACTTCTATATAATACGTATTTCATACATTTAATACTTCATATTGTAAAAAAAAAAAAAAAAGCATAAAGTACCGTAATAAGTCATTTTTTCTTTAAGTATCTGTCTAGAAATTAATTGTTAGCGTAGTAGTTGTAATTTGTAAATTGTTATCTATAATGTATATTATCGACGTATGAAGAGGATTTATTTGTTCATGAATTTTAACTAATTTAAAAATACAAAGCAAAAATAATTTATATTCGTGTTTAAACAGTGGTGTACTGTTTTTTTATTTATTTGACCTGATCCATTATGGATTTGGATATGTGTCAGAATATTTTTTTTGATAATGGATTTTAGGTTTGGAAATGTTTTTTTTTTTTTTTTAATAAGATTTTTAGGGATCGGTTATCCCCAAACAAAGTAAGATTTTAAGGTTACATAAGAACTAAGCATGTCTTAATCATATCACTCAATTAAAGATCTAAGATGATTTTACTAACTACCCAATTACTACAACTAAATCAACTTGGATTCTCACGCCTGTCATGATACCATCACATCACTTTATTCAAAATTTGTGTTACTGTAAAAAAAAAAAAAAAACACTCAAAATTTGTGATATTTGAACAATAGTTTCAAGTGATTAAATTAAAACATAATCGTACAATAATTTTCTTCAAGGATGAAAACATAAAGTAGAAAAAAAGAAAAAGAAAAACAAACGTCACAAAATTGGAGTGATTATCTCCAGCGTTTCAGTATATTAATACTCAACAACACAAGGAGCCTTGCATAGCAAGCAACAAGTCTTGCTTCTTACTCTGATGCTTTGGTCTTCTTCTTTTTCTTCTTCTTTGTGGGCTCTGATGTTGCTTTTCTTTTAGACTTCGAATTATCCTTCTCGTCTTGGTCTATCAAATGCTCGTACTCTTCAAGACTCGCAAATGGAGATTTCCGTTTTCTTTTCTCTTTCTTTTTCTTCTTACCACGACCATCATCACCATCACTATCATCATCACCATCACTATCACCATCATCAACATCTTCCCCATCAATCAGGTCCATGTCCATGTCTGTGTCCATCTCTGCATCGCTCACATCAGCCACGAGCTCTTCATCATCCTCGCCGGCTACTCCATCTAGATCATCATAGTCATATTCACCCCCCTCTTCTTCCACAGCATTATCATCAACATCATCCAGCATATTCTCAATCTCCTCATTGTCACTCTCATCACTACCCTCGAATTCAACATCACTACCGTAGTTTTCTCCACCATCACCATCATTCACATCGTAAAGTTCTTCAGCAGCTTCTTCTTCAGGTAGCTTCTTCTTCTTCTTCTTTTTCTTTGACTGCTTCGTACTGTTCATCTTGTTCACATAGAACTTGTGGAAGACTAGATCTTCAGGAGCCACATCTCCTTCTGCTAATGAGAGAATCTCAGCTCCAATCACACGGTTTGACATGTCAAGCTGCACATGAGAAGAAAAAGAAGAAAAAATTAATCGTTACAGGGGAATGTAAATAACAAAATGGTTAAAGCTTTAATAGTTTGAAGCTTGAGCTTTTTACCTTCTTGGAAGGTTCGATCTGGGAACCACCATGCCAAGTGTTTTGCTTTGGTTTCTTCTCCATGAATTTATCCAAGAAAGCAGTTAGAGATAAATCGTTCAGCGGGTTTCCGTTGTAAACAATATTTGTTCCTGAGAGAAGGGTTCCCGCCATTGTAGCAACCGAGGGGTGAGCATGTTTTGAAAGAACCACCAACTCCCACCAACTTGCACGGTCTGCGTTACTGTTAAATTGAGATCAAGGATTCAGTTCCAACCAAGGCTATAATATCAAAAAAGTTTCTAAAATACTATCGTTGTTCCAACTTCCAAGCATAGCTTGTCAGATTTAATTGGGATAAAAGCAGTATACTTAAGCTTTTGATGAAATATGAGATTAACTGACCAGTAAGAAGGTTCTCTATGACGAGGATCATATCCTCCAGGAAGAGAACTCGATTTCACAAGCGGTTGACTTCTTTTTTCCATATCATTAGAAACCTCCATGGTTTCTTGAAGCTGGGGAGTTTCGTTTCTAATTAGCTCTTCAGAATCATCAGAAGCATAATCATCTTCTTCATCAGATTGCCTGACTGCCAAAGCCTCTTCTTCATCTGAAGAAGAATCACCATCTCTACTTGTCTTTTCGCCACCATCATGATCAACTTCAACATCGTTCTCATCATTCTCTGCTTTCTTATTGGGATCAATATCATCTCCCTCTATCACATCCTCAAAATGTTCTACATCTTCTTCTTCCTCAACTGATTCCCTCTGGACCACCATCTTCCTGCAAGGTAAATAGAAGGACCGATTGTATCATCGGGTAAAAGCCATGGATATATGGTTAACAGAACGAACAAAGCTTACCATAGAGGTGGCCTTGCTTTTAACACTTCAGACAATAGGAAAAGGCATCCACAGGCATACTGTGGTGGCTGTTGAAGCGCAACCTATTCAAATAGTTAAAGAGTAAAATTTTAGAGATAACACAACAATTACTATACAGAGTGTCTCGACATCGATAATTTAATACCAAAAGAATCAAGGATCCTGTATAAAACAAATGATATAAATATTGCCAATGAAACTAGAGCTATCAACGACAACGTTGATAGTTTATTTTGTTCATGTTACCGACCTGCAAGACTCTTTTGGAGAATGCAGCCACACGCTTGACATTTATATCATTTTTCATGGCTCTGAGAAGAAGCCCAATAAACATTTCAACCTGCAATTAAAAACAGCAAATTAGTAAACTCGGTTATCAAGAAAATGCTATGGTTCATGCCAGGGGGAGACCTATTGATGTTTTTGTCAGAAAATATAAGTTGCTTTCACAAGTTTAGAAATAATTGAATGTACCTATTGTAAGGATTATAACCCATTCATTAACTAAGAATAAAATGACGTGATTGGAACATGGAAAAACAGAAGCTTCAAAATTTAGCTTGCCTTGGAAGAATTCATTGCGGAAGGGAGTAGAAGTTTCGAGTACAGTGCACGGTAAAACCTGTCACTAACAATCTTATTCTTGGATGAGATCTTGTCAAGAAGCATCAGTGATTGAACTCCCACATTGAAATTCGCCGAGTGTACCTACATACATTCCAGATCCCATTTTCTTTATCAATTTTCTGTTGCAACTAATGAAACAAAACGTATATAATGAAGCTTTAATTAATGGTTACCAGTTTGAACAGCACCGGCGTCTGGGATTCAATTATATCATCAGCCTCATCAGTGGAAACATATGGAAAAGCTCTGTTAACTCCCTGCAATTACGGAGTACTAAGGCATAAGTTGATCTCTAAAGTCTCAAAGCTTTAAAATTATGTTATATCATGTACACCAAAAAAACCCATTCGGACTAACCGTCAGTAGAGCTGATAGAATTCTTGAATCCAACTCAATAGGTGAATCAGTTGCCACTTCTTGTTTTGTGTCCTTTGGGTTGGATTTTTTCTTATCAGCGGCTCCTTTGTCATCTGCGCCTTGTTTCCTATTTGCTTCTGTAGTTAAAACCTACAAGAATGCAAACACACTCCTGTATCTCAGACTTGAGTGAATACCCAACTGGTGAAAGATTTCATGTTATGACTTATGACAAACGCCACCCCAAGGGGGGACAAGACTTTAAGACGATCATAAGAAAATGTTTAATTAGATTGACTTCAGATGCCAGTTACCTTAAATAAGGCAAAATATACATCAATTAGACGTTTTGCCACCTTCGGATCCTCTCCTTTGTGGCTCAATCGGATCTGACTCAAAAAGTTAACCTGTGAAATTTACAAGGGTTAATGAGCATTGTTTAAGAAAAGTTAAACATGGATAAGTTTATGCTTCTTTTCTTCTCTAAAGTCTCAGTAAAATGGTTTCCCATTCAAATCAAAGAAGCCAAATATAATATTTTTGATGACAATAAGCATGAATTAGTTTAAAGAGATGAGTAAGAAAATAAAGAAAAATGGTTCTCGTGAACCTAATTAGAGTACAGCAATGGAAAATGGACATACAGCATGATATTTTGCACGTAACCCAAGATGGGGTCGGAAGAGAAAGGAGTCAACTTCATCTATAACCACAGCCTGCAAAAATAATATTACATGAGCCAAAGAGAAGAATCCAAACAACCAATCAATAAACTAAATCCTGAAACTGGCATAGAAAGGTTGAATAGCCGCACCTTCATGTTAGGATGATCCGCCAAAAGATTTGTCAGGTGATAATCAGCATTAGATGCACTCTTGTTTTGAGGATCCCCCAACTATATAAGTAATCCACGGAACAATTAAGGGGATCACAACTGAGAAATTTAAATTAGATACAAATATTCGAAAGAACAACTGACAATACCTTGTTCACCAATGACACTAGCAATTTCCGCTCTTGTTCTGATTTGCTTGTCAACATGAAATATATTGTCTGAAAACAAACAAAATAAACATTTACTAAGGAAAGATCTGAATCACCTTACGAAGCAAAAAACTCACTATAGCTGAAAGAAAACCAAGGACCATGCAGTTATGCATCATCCAGAGAAGGATTACATTGATAATACTCAAATGTCTAATATGATAGCTCATCATGAATCTTACAAAACCTGAGACCAGTGCTACTAAACAAGCTAGCGGGTGCAGAGTGGTGATAGGATATACATACCTTCAAAGCCTTGTCTTTAAGCTCTGGAAGCATATCTTTAGATGATTCATCAAGGGCTGTGACGAAGCGCTCATACCTACAAAGTCAGCATGGTAAGCTGTTAACCGAATCATCGATCCAGAACTATTACTGATAGAAGATACAAATCTTGGACATAGTGTGATAAACACATCCCTCGTGGCATGATTTCAGATCTTGAAAGAAGCTTAACAAATAACGTGATGTCCCTACAGCTAGAAGCAAAATGACAAGATTTTCTTTACCTCTGTTTCAAGCAATCCTCCCAGTACCAAAACAGCAAAAGCGAGTAACCATCCTTATTTTCCGGAATCCTGTTTAAGGGTCGCTGTAAAAGTGTCTTCAGCTTGCGATCAGGTAATAACCTGGAAAAAAAAAGCTCAGTTAACGAGAAAAAAAGATGCAAGACTGATATGATTCTGGACACATAAGTCTATAGCTCATCGGGAGAGTAAGAAAAATGTGCCTGATCAAAATTTCTGATAGAGCCTTAAGACCCTTAAATGCAAATCTTTTTCCAACTTTTGAGGTCACCATTCCTGCAATGAACGAGACATCAACAAAATGCTACAGGTGATTTCACCATTGGAAAACAAAACGACTCAAATTCGCAATTCACAATTCAATAACACAGTTTTCTTCGAGAACAAGAAACATACCCAATAAGGCATCAAGAGACCTCATATTTGCAATGGGATTCTCTCCAACCATGATCTCAAAGGCAGTGATTTTATCAGCTACTGTCCCAGACTTTTGAGCAGAAATCACCATCTTCATATCTCCACTCTTTCCCTTCGAAATTACAAAGTCCTCTGCGTATTGCCACATCAATCTCTCTCCTAATTCTCTCTTCTTCTCCACCACACCCTTAAAATCCTCCTTATTCGTCACCGCCACTTTCCTGCCACCAAACACCTTCTCCTCAAGCTCCGCTGCATCATTGTACCATTCCGAGCTCAATAAACTCGCTTTCACCAATGGTAACTTAGGCAAACTCTTGAATTCATCGAAACGTTTGGCCTTAATCCCAGTACTCTCATCATCAATCGATAAAAATCCAGGCTTTGGCTTCGGTTGTATCGTTTGCTTCACTGGCGCATCTTTGTTTTGCTTACTCGCTCCAAAAGCGTTTCCCTCTTCATTCCCAATGTTCGAATTTGGCTCTCCTTCTTTAACTTCATTCTTGTGTTTCTGATCCTTCTTAGGTTTTTTCCGTTTCTGGGTTTGGGATTTAGCGGGTTTTCGGAAATCAGTATCGTTGAAACCAGAAGAAGGAAGAGATGAAGCTAAGCCGATAGAAGAAGCGAATGATGCGATATCAGATGTGAGAAGACTCAAGTCCTGCGATGATTTACTCAAAGGCTTTAACTTTGACATTTTTTTTTTCTCCGAGCATATGAAGAGGGTTATGAGATTTGTGGAAGAACGGAGACAATTAGGTTTAATCAATCTCTGTGCTTTGAGATGAGACAATGAAAAAGAAAGAAGAAATTTCAGTGTGGGGGTTCAACAAGTTTTGCTAGGGTTTTAGAAAACGGCAAGAGAGAAACAGATGAAATGGCTGAAGGGTAATTTAGTAATTTATGATATAAGACAAGGGCAAAACAGACTTAACGACCTAAATCAATAAGATGATTTTTTTTTTAGTTGGGTTCCTGAGACGGTCGAAGCCCAATTGCTAAAACATGCGTTTAGTTATATAGTCTTATTAAGACAGATAAAAAACATAAAGGACATTATGTATTTTATTTTAAATAATTTTTTTACAAAAGAACATATTAAACCGATGACAAAACCTCAGCAAAACCGACGGTGCGAAATCTCTCTCTTTCTTCTCTCTCTAATATTTTTCAGAGAGATGGGGGTTTCTTCGATGTCATCACCGTCCGGCTTAGTTTGCTGGATTTTGTGACCGGCCGAGGTCCGTTATCACCATCAGTTTAGCCGTAACACGACTTTTCCGTTGTCGTGTTTTTGCCGTCAACACGACTTTTCCGTTGTCGTGTTCTTGCCGTCCGATCTGAGTTGACGATGAACCATCTTTTGATGGATCGATCAATTTAGTATATCTAATTTGTGGCGAAAGGTTATTTGAATAAATGAGTTTCGTAAAGCAAAAATCAAAAAGCCAAAGATGATGGAATTTTCTGGGGTTTCGACCATGTCCTTTTGGTAGACGACGTGAATTAAGCTTCCATGCGAAATCTTCATTAGCTTTCTCTGGTGGTCCAATGGTATCACTAGTTTTCCGGCGGACTCTCGAAGTGCTCATCATCGTTCCGGTTATCGTCATCCTACGAACAAGATGTAGACACGTGGCTTTCCTCCTTCAATGGGTTATCTTGTTTGTTTGGGTTGAACCGTTGAAGTGTTTGGTGACACGTAGACTTAAAGAATACTTGCTTTATGTGCTGGCTCGTAATGTTTATATTTTTGTTATCAAGCTTTTAATTATGAAGTTCAGGTTTTATCACTTTTTAGTTCTAAGTTTAGCAGTTGGATGGGTCACAGTTTGAAGATTTCCATGATGTCTTCAAAAGATTCTACTACTAATCTATGTTCTTCTGATACGATGGTGTGCAAGAAGCTGTCATGACATAGGCATAAGATGGAAGCTATAAGATCAGATTCGAAACTTGGTTTTCGTTTTTCTGTTCTTATTGGAGAGTCATGATGATTTGCTTTTACCAAATGCTACCATGTTAGAGCCTTCTCTTTAGTAGCTGAATGTTGTACCCTTCTCTGTATTTCTATGTTTGTAAAGTCTTGTGTTTTATATTTTTACTCTGTATTTCTCTGTTTGTAAAGTTAGGTATGTGTTGTATCTCTTGTCCTTGTACTTGCCTCTTCAAAATGGATTTCCATTCATGGATGATGCGTTTGTCTAATATAATAGAAATCACTTTCTGGAAAAAAAAAAAACCGATGACAAAACCTCAATATCGCCTACGAAAGTTGTTTTTGTTGTCGTTTTCGTAATTTATTTATCGTTAGTTATTTATAAAATGTTATCATAATAATATGATTCATTCAACCATAGCTAGAACGAACCTGTTAAAGTTGAATATTTTTGCCACTTCAAGAAAATTACTAACAGTGCAAGTCCATAAGAGACAGAGGCTTGTTTGCCACTGAACCGGAAATATTAATCCTGCCTGCCATTTTAAAGTCTGAATGCCACCCATAGTGTGTATAATACCTTTATACCCTTAATGGAGAAATTGAATTAATTTTAAAACAAAAAACAGAAAAATTGAAATCGAAATCGAAATCCAATCGAGTTCTTTGTCTTCATTTCTCCGGCGACGACAAACGGAAGATTCTCCGGAGCTGCTGAGGTCGGATTCGTTGTCCGACATTAGCTCTGGCGCCGGTTTTGGAGCTTCATTGTTGGATCGAGTTTAAGAGCTCGTCATTTGTTTCGTCTACTCCCGCTCCTCCTCTTAGCCTCGCCGTCGACTCATCCATTTCGACGGAACTCCGTCGTAGGACCTTCTTTCTTCTCCTCCATTGTTGGATCTTGATTGAACCAAGTAAGTGTTTAGAAATTTGTTTGTTTAGGTATTTGCAATGGTAGAGTTTGGCAATAGTAGGTGTAGAAATCTCTAGATAGTAGGATTTATGAGTTGAATCGTGTTGAATCTGAGGGAAATTAGAATGTAGCTCCTCCTTTGTATCGTTAATTGCAGAAGGTCATGATACAACTGAAATTGAATAATACAACTGGTACATATATGATAGTGTAGTTCGACTGGTACAATTGGTATAACTGTTACAAGTGCTGTATCGAAATTAGTGATTTATTTTGTTCTATCTGCAGTGCGATGAAGAAGAAGATCCACACAAACATATATTTTGACTATGGAGGGTACTATTCAGAAGAGCATGAGTGGAATTGCAACAATTCACTATATGCTATAATGTTTAAGACAACATCTTTGGAGAGAATAACATATACGGTGTTGGTAGATAAGATCTGTAAGAAGATTGCTATAGACGGAGCGAGAAGGAAGATGAAATTGAGTTACATGATATGTAAAGGAAGGAGAGAGTCTTATATTTTAGATGATGAGGATGTTTGTATATTCTTAACATCATTGGATAAAGATGGATTTAGACCAATTTTGCATGTGGAGTTATGCAATCTTGAAAGTAATCAGATGGTGGAGCTAGTACCAAGAGTAGAGAGAAGAAGTTCATGCGGTTTGAATTATGGGGAAGTGGCTGCCAATGATGTAAGGACTGATGATGTAAGGACTGATGATGTAAATAATCAGGGAAACTTGAGTACTTTTAGATGGGGGGAAGGATCAGAACAAGAGAAAGAGCCTGCTATAGGTAATGAACCGATTATTGAACAGCTCATGATAGAGAATGGTGTAAATGAAGATTGTGAGAATGATGTTAGGCATGAATATGTTGAGCTTTCACGGCCTGTACAACCAAGTGAGGAAACAGTTAAAGAATGGGAAGATGGTATGGTTTTGGAAAAAGATCAAGAATTTCCTTCTAAGGAGGCTGTATGGGATTTGGTTAATAGAGCTGCAAAGGCCGAGTTGTTTGGTGTGAGATGTGTGAAGTCGGACCCGGTGCGACTTATGATTGAATGCAGTCAAGCTTCCATGGGTTGTGAATGGTATTTAAGAGTTGCTAGAATAAAGAAATCTGATTTTTGGAGTGTAAGAGTTCACAAAAACATGCATACATGCTCTAGGTGTGAGGAGAGTACTAGATATTTTAAACAAAAAGGCACACCACGATTAGTAGCAAGTGTTTTGCATGAGGACTTCTGTGGTCAATTGAAAACACCGGATCCTAAAACCATCATGACTCTTGTTAAAGGAAGACTTGGTTTGGATTGTTCATACTCCACCGCCTTGAGAGGGAAAAAACAACATGTTAGTGATATGCGTGGGAACCCTGAAGTTTGCTACACGATGTTGTATGCTTATCTCCACATGTTGAGAGAGGTGAATCCTGGGACAGTAACGGAAGTGGAATTGGATGTAGAAGAGAGGTTCAAGTACTTATTTATCGCTTTAGGAGCAAGCATTGAAGGGTTTAAGGCAATGAGGAAAGTGTTAGTGATTGATGCAACTTTTCTGAAAACTGTATATGGTGGGATGTTAGTTATTGCAACAGCTCAGGATCCTAATCGTCACCATTACCCCATTGCGTTTGGTGTAATTGATAGTGAGAATCATGCTAGTTGGAATTGGTTTTTTAGAATGTTGAGAAAGGTAGTACCGGATGAAGATGGTTTGGTTTTCATAAGCGATAGACATCAAAGCATCATCAAGGGAGTGATGGATGTGTTTCCAAACGCATCACATGGTCATTGTATATGGCATTTGTCCCAAAACCTTAGGCCAAAGTTGACTGGGGACAAGGACGTAGGTGTTGATAAATTCAAGGAATGCGCTCATGTATATACTAAGACCGAGTTCAACATTCAGTATGGTGATTTTAGGAGAAGGTATCCTAGAGCTGCTGAATATCTAGATAATTCTATTGGGGTTGAACAATGGGCTAGGAGTCATGCTGAGGGAGACAAGTACAACATAGATACTAGCAACTCCGCAGAGTCAATGAATGCTGTGTTTAAGGAAGTAAGGAAGTACCATCTATTACCGATGATTGATGCGATATTGGAGAAGTTTTCCGAATGGTTCAACAAACATCGAAAAGATTCTGCCAATGCATCGAACACGACGCAGGTGGTGCCTGTTGTGGAGAATATATTACATATCCGATGTCCTATAGCTGCGAAGTTGACGGTCACTGAGCTTAACAGCTACCGACGCGAATATAGCGTAATTGGAGTTGATGGTTTAACATATTTGGTGGACTTGGATATGAAATCTTGTACTTGTAGGTGTTTTGATATAGACAAGTACCCTTGCATCCATGGTATAGCCGCAGCCATTAAGCATTGTCGGAATGAATGGAGAACCACGGAAGTAAGCATATATGGTCTTTGTTCGAAATATTACTTGATCGAGACGTGGGCATTGGCATATTACAAAACGATTTACGTTGTGCCGCATGAGTCTCAATGGACTTTCCCAGCTGACTACGAGGAGAAGATCGCAAAACCGCCGGATTACAAACCAAAGAAAGGTAGAAATCAAGAAACCCGGTTTCCATCCACCGGGGAAAAGCGACGAAAGAGGACCCAAAACAAGGCACAGCCTGGCATTAACTTGGAGAGTTGGTTGCAGCCCCCTCCCAATGATGAGAATGGTTAACTTGAGTTTCTGTGTTTTATTTGTATTTCTCGCATGTGCATTAACAATTCAGCTGGTTCAACTGAGTTCAACTAAGAACATGTCTGTGTCTCGTTTGTGCATTAACAATTCAGCTGGTTCAACTGAGTTCAGCTAAGAACATGTCTGTTTGTTTTAAGTTGTATTTCTATTCGTTTATATACTGAGTTCAGCTATTACAAGTATGCTTCCATAAGTTTAGCTTTAACTATTCAACTGGTTCAACTTGTACAGCTACGATAGTATTATAAAACAACATATTTAAAAAAAAAAAAGAAATAAAAGAATAATTCTATAATATAATCATAATAGAATTAACTTTTAAAGAAAATTTAAACATTTGAATACAACTTTTAAAAAAATATATGGAAAATGATGTTCTCACACAAACAACCCCTTCTAGTATAAGGAATACTTGCTATAAGATAACCTAAATCATAGTGAAAGAAGTTGGACAAATGATTTGGTAAATATAATATTATGTAACCCTTGGATATGCCAAATAATTAAGAATAATCATTTGTCCAACTTATAATTAGTTATTTAAATACTAGTCCAACTGAAAACAAGAAAAAGTGTTAAAAGTCCAACTATGTTGCTCCTAGTACAACTGGACAACTATGAGTATATTCAGTCATGGGTCCCTCATATTTAATACTATTAAACAAGTACAGCCGCCAAAGTACAACTGGACATCAGTTTTTTTTTAAAAATATATTTTTTGTTTTTAGATATTCTTTTAAAAGGAAAAGGAAGATAAATCGATAGATCTAGGGTTTTATTATAAGCTCTGTCTCCCTCTCTTACCTAGTTTCTCTCTCTCTCATTTGCGAAACCCAAAAAAGTAGAGAAGTAAAATTCCGGCGAGCGAGAGCGGAGATCCCGACGGCGAGAGGAGAGATTTCGGCCAACGACTCCTATCTCTCAAGGTTGGTGCTTTCTTATTTGGGGTTCTCCGTTTTTGATTTGTATATCCTAGATTCGGATTTGTGTCTATGGTTTTTAAATTTCTGATTCTTCTTGAGGAGTTGCAGTGAGAATGCCAATCAGTTATACTCAAAGCTCCGAATCGGAGCCGAGTGAGGATATGAGTTGGGCAAGAGCTGACGGTAATTGGGGTATTCCGAGATATTGTTTCTGTGGAACCTACGTTAAGCTTGTTGTGTGTACCACTGGCAATAATCAAGGAAGAAAGGAATACAAATGTCCAAATTTTGAGGTATGATGAATTTTTTTGTATTGTTGATGATGAAATCGTTTTTCTTATGATTGATGAATGATGCTTATGCTTAGGATGGTGGAGAACACCTTCAAAAGTGGTGGGATGATGCGGTTAATGAGGAGTTTACTGTCGTCCATAACAAATTTGAAACCCAGAAAGAATCAATCCACCACGCTTACCAAAATCCTATGTTGGAGTCCCTTCGCGAGTCTGTTCGAATTATGCGTGCTCAAGTCGATGATCTTCAGAAGCGTTTGGAGGAGAAAGAAACTGAGATTGGTAGGCTGAAGGAGTTGCTATCTAAGTGGTAGTAATAACCACTTATGTATTTATGTATTCCTCTAAATCTTTGTAGACTACTTCTTATGTTTGTAATAACCCTATGTAGACTAATCTCCTTTATTTCCTATTTGAACTAGTAACCTAGTTTTATTTCTAAATGTTTAACACGTATTTATGCCTTTGCTTTGACATAGTTGTACCACAAAGTTGTACCACAAAGTTGTACCGTCTTGACCAGTTGTACCGTCTAGTTGTAAATGTCAAATTTTTTTATCTGACAATGGTTAACAAGTATTTGACCTAGTTTTATTTCTAAATGGTTAACAAGTATTTGACCAATTTTATTTCAAAAGTTGCCTTCGCTTTGACATAGTTGTACCACGAAGTTGTACCGACTTGACCAGTTGTACTGCCTTGACCAGTTGTACCGACTAAACACAATCTAAAATTAACCAAAATAACAAGTACTAACTCCAGGTACAACCAAAATAACACAACAATAGTTCCTACTTTCTCCTTCTCTTCGGCTGCACTTCCACAAATGGTGTCTTAATATGTTGGGAAGCTGCCCTTGTTCGCTTCAGTCCGGTTGCTATTACAGGTCCACCCTCTTGCTGCAACATCCTCTTTGTCTTCTTGCCCTTCTTCTTCTCTTTTCCTTTCATCTCTTCCTCATTCTTTTTCTCCTCCTCATTCTTTTCCTCCTCCTCATCACCTTCATACAATGTACAAAGAAAACAGTTTATTAGTCCACTTTAAAAGTTCAATAAATAACCAAGAAACTTCTACACTCACCTTGTTCTGGAACAGTTGGAGAAATGGGATTATACAAAACCAATTCCATGGTTTGACTCATCTGCCCACCCTCAAAATCAGTTCTTGTCCCATATTGTGTTTCCAGAGGCGACCCATATGGCGGAAACACCGGACTATGATATCCCTGAGCTGCCACAGACACTTCAAGAGTCTTCACTCTAATCTCCATATCCCTAAACTTCTCCTCAATGGCATGAAAGCCATTGTTCACCACCTCTGTTAGTGAGGCAAGAGATGCAACAACTTTAGCAATATCAGAACTCTCTTTCTCAGGGACTTCTTGCTCAGGGGCTTGTTGCTCAGGGTCTTCATTCTCAAGAAACTTATTACCAATCTCTCGGGACGCCTGGTCCAGCTGGTACATTCCTTCCCACCATATCTTTTTCTTCTTTTCTACTAGACGCTCTCTCCAACTGTCAACAATGATATCAATCTGCCCTAGGCCATCATCAACATTATCTTCAATGATTCCAGCCAACAGAGATTTTTCATATTGGTCTGGTACCAATATGCTGTCAATATCCTGTGCATACACACACATACATTTAACTTAGACTCTTTATCAAATACATGACACAAACCAAATAATCAAATGAAGACAGAAACTCTAACCTTGCTAGTCCCAAGCTCTTGATATATTTCTTCCAAAGGGATACCTTTCATGGCAGATTCTTTAAACTTGTGCTTGCACATCCTTGGACAGTCATTTGCTGCACGTACAGGTACTCTATATTTCAGTCCAAGATGTGGAATAGCCTCATAAGCCAGAATCTACAAAAAAACACACACAGTTAATATCATAAAACCATATATACAACTTCAAATACTCAGACATCAAAAACAAAGGCTTACCTCCAAAGGTACAATGAATCCACTAAAGCTAGGTTGAGCTTTAGGTTTGACAGACCCATTCAAATTCTTCATCATATTCCGGATCCCTTTCATACATTCTAAGAATGAATACCTGCCCCATGGATATGTCTCACATGCATCCAAATCATCAACAATCCTTAATAGAAAGGATTCTATGTTTCCATCACTTTTTGAGCTTGCTTTTAGTATCTTGCATAAGAAATACAAGACTACTAACTTCTTCTTATCAGCTCCTTTCCAACTCTTCTTTCCCTTCAACTTAGCTAATACATCAGATGCCTTTATCTTCTCAGTCCTTTTGAAGATTCTCTTCACAAACCTCAAATTCCCCATTTCCTCATGCTTCTCCGGGTATTCCTTGCAATTAAACCCAGTTAGCAACGCATGCTCTTTGATGGAATACCTAATAGGTACTCCATTAACCACAAACCAACACTCCCTCTCAAGATCTGTGTCAACTGTGCGCAGCATAAGCATCCACATGCCTTGAGTCATGTGGTTTGGCTCCCTAGGCATGTGGAATACATGCTTGAACTGAGAGTGACTTCTGAACCATATTGCCTCGTCTTTAAACTCTTTCTCTATCAAGTTCACTGTCTCAGTCACTTTACACCTAGTTCCTATTTTACACCCTTTGGTGTATTCTGAACTATCTAAGCACATCTTCTCTGGCGGAAGTGGCTGGGAATCATCTTCATCATCATCATTATCATAATCATCATCAGCTGTTATACCAGCAACGTCCTTACTAGCTTCAGCAACCTCCTCCTCTATACCATCTTTAGCAGCAGCCTCCTCCTCTATACCAACATCCTCTTCAGCCTCTATATCATCTTTACCAGTACCAACATCACCATGCTCATCCTCTTCACTAGCATTACCAGCAACATCATCCTCTTCCTCATATGTATCCTGCATATTCAAAACATAATCGTTGAGTTTAAGTTGTTGAACTACTTGTCTCAAAACACACAATTCAAATAAGTATATAATCGGGATAAGTTGAACTAGTTGTATCAAGACACATAAATTCAAACCTATATATTCTCCGCTTCAATTATACCAAGAACTAGCATTAAAAGTATATATACTCATATTCAAAGACAACCTAATTCACTAGTTGAACTAGTTGTACCTTGAATTCCATTAATCCATTCTCAAACTAATGTATACCTGAGCAGTAACGGTCTCTTCCTCTTCCTCTGATGCACCCACGAGTTCCTCCTCTGCAGCCTCTACTGCTTCAGTACTCTGTTCTATCGGACTCTCTTTTCCAAGTTGAATATCGGAATCATCAACTGCTGCTTGTCCTTCAGCATCATTCCTTTCCAACTCGACGGTTTCGTTTCCAGGTTGACTCTCGGAAGCATCAACTACTGCTTCTTCTGTCGGATCAGTTTGCATCCCGACGGTTTCACTTCCAGGTTTGATCATAGAAGCATCTGGTTCTGTCGGATCTGCGGTTTCTCTTCCAGGTTCTACCGAAGCATCCGCTGGTTCTGCCGGACGCCTCGCCGTCGATTCATACACCCCTTCGCCGTCTCTTACACGAGCCATTGCAAAGTTCCCCAGATTTTCGACGGATTTGCGGATTTGGATATGAACAGGGAAAAGGGCGATGCGAAATTCGACTTAGAAGGTGAGAATGGAGAAGAAATCGACGATATAGGAGAAGAAATTGAAGAAATCAGTGAGAAATCGGAGAAGTTTTCTCTAGGGTTTCGAAAAGGGGGGAAATCGGAGAAAATGAAACGCTTACGTTTTTCCTGAGTTTTCAATTTTTCTCTTTGTTGGGCTCAATTCTCGGATGGGCTTGGACAAAAATTAATGGGCTTGGATCGGATAAATGGAAACGGGTCAAACGCATGAGATCTTGGATCTTGCCCCTTGGGTTTTTCGTCATTTCATATTTAAGGGTTTAAATTTAATTCATCTGATAAAACAAAAAAAGAAGGGTGGCATTCCAGGTTTTTTTTTCTCCAAAAGTGGCTTTCCAGCCATTGATTCAGTCCATAAGTACTAGTGAGATTCGATCATGTGCTAAATTTTTATGACAGAGAGAGTAATCTTTTTTTTTTTTTTTTTTTGTGCAAAGACAGAGAGAGTAATCTAAATGACAATTTTAAAGGATCTAAACAAGATGTAAAAAACAAGTATCAAAATATGTATGTAGAAATAATACTAGCTACGTAATACACTATGAATCACCTAAATTGGTCAAAAGTATGGAAGAATATATATAAAGGGTATTTGGCTTCAAATCCTAAATAAGTGAAACTAGAAACGTGAACTCGTGATATGCCCTAAAGCTTGAGTTCAAGATTTTTGGAAGACTGTCCTTCTTTCTTGTCCACCTCCATTGGCATATGGTTATGTGCCTTTGGTTTTGGAGGAGTTGCAAAGTGTTGCGAGGATTGGCCTGACTTTATCGATGGAGTACCCATCTCTGGCTTGGGAGGAAGATGACCACCGTTTTGGTTCACTTGATATGGAGCTCTAGCCACAGCCCTGAAATTCAAAACCCTTAATCAACATTTAAGACAAAGTAGATATTGGAGTTTTGATTTACAAAGAACATTCTAATTTGTGTTTCTTTGACTAGAAATTTCCTGACATTTTACTAATAACTTTCCTAGATCAATGACAGGATTTAGATAACACACGCTTAAATCATCCGTCAACACAAGATGATGGACTCGTATCTCTTATATACTACTCTAGGTCTCATCTCAAATTTCGTTGTAACTTGTTACACGTGCTTTTTAAATGATGACTCTGACACATCTAGGATCTTACTCTAGGATCAGAAACATACCACGACCATCCTAATTAGGGTAACAAACAAGTTATGATACTATGTTAAGTTTTATGAATTTTCAACTTAATATTTAATTGGTAATGCCGGTGTGGGGTTCCTTGAACAACTCTTAATAAGGTGAGCTAATCCTATCTAGGTTAATTATTAGCTATTTTACATATAACTTCCTAGAAAAACTTGGTCCTAGTCTATGTATACATTTCCGAGACACGGCCTAGAAAAAGCGTAACCAGCTACGTACGTTCTTAATATTATGACCATATCAGGTAAGACAAAGCAGTTTCCAGTTTTAGTTTACCTGTCTTTTCGCTTAGCAAAGAATCGATGAAGAGAAGCTCTTCTTGCAATGCGTTCAACAAGCTGATGTTGCTGCCCTGTTTCTTGATCTTCGTTGTTCCCTGAACTCGTTGGCTCGTTCAGATCAGGAATCACCACGTTGCTTTTGTTGTTCATGTCGAGATTCATGTGACTCTGAGTGTTCTTCTTGGAATCAACAGCAACATGATTCGCTTCTTTAGCTACTTCCATTATTTCATTTGCTTTGTCCTCAGGAAACTCATTGAAAACCATAACTTTTCCTCCAAAGAATATGGTCAACTGTGAATTTCCAGGCTTTGGTACAACTTTTTCCGGTTCACTGAAATCAAACCAAACCCATTTGTACAATTAGTCAAACTCCACACATCTATAACCGGTTTTAACCGGTAGTCCTTTCTCTAATTCAGTTGCTACAAAAATGGAAAGACTGAACAATTTCTCAATTCTAATAAAAATCTGAAACTTGAGGGAAAAAAAAAATCTGAAACCGAACACGAGTTCGAAAACATATGTGTACAATACCTGAGATCAACATATATGGCTTTGTTTCCAGAAGAAGTAGAGGCCTCACAAACGGAACGCTCGGAAAGCTTTTGAATCACCTCGAAGGGTCTTGTTTCTGCCTTCTTAATCACATTTTGTTGACCTAAAACAAACCAAAACAAAAAAAAATCCCTATCCGATTAAATTTTATCAAAATCAAATTACATTATTTTTTAAAATAAACTTCACAAAATCTCTCATTTTAATATACCTAAACTGTCCAAAAGATACTATCATGCTTAAGATTCAAGAAAAAAAAAAAAGATAAATACAATTTAAATTTTGCATTTCAACAAAAAATAATCTATTATTTAATACGTCTCTAATAAAGGGCCAAGATCTCATACCCCTATGCTGAATAATCAACGAACCAGGATACTAAACGTATATAATTAAACTTTTGTCTTTGTCGGCGGCGGCCGTCGGAGTAGATAAGGAGACATAAAAAATACCTTTGAGATCGAATTTTCCGGCGAGCTCAAGATCGGATATTCGAGCCAACCCCATATTAATATTCCCAAAACTTCCCTTCTCCTTCAAGTACCGGCTGAGCAAACTACATCTCTGAGAGAAATTGGACTTCTCCTGCCCTTGTCCCGTCGACGACATACAGTGATGGAGATTTACAACAACTCTAAGATTTCCTTTGCTTTGGCTTCTTTACACGTAAAAATCAAGGATTACAAAGGGTATATAGATGTTTTGAGCTTTTTTGCTCATATGTTGTTGTTATAAATAACCAATTCTAGCCAATAAGCTTCTGTGGCTTTTATTTAACCTCTCCCGAATAAATAAAGAAAACGAAATAACGTGTTCTTTTTCTAATTGGTTTTTTTTCAGTCTGAAGTGACAGTGATGTCTGTCCAATATAGAATGGTTTTGTCACGAGTTATAACTTCTTCTTTTTTCACACCTAACTAGACTAAACAGTAAAACACATTTTTTCTAAAAGATCATCTATGATGGTTCAAGAAGAAGAATTTACCCCAGCTATAAACGTACTCATTTCTTAAGCAACTATTTTCTTTTTTTTTGGTCTCATATTTTAGGCTATTAATTTCCAATATATCATCAAATATTTGAATAGAAATAAATTATATACGCAAAAAGTAGATTAAATCCGTTGATTCCAGAAAAACAAACTAATGTTCGTTACAAGTTCCGGCACGTTTTCATTGCGCAAGCCGTGAAGAAACTGTTGTAAGTTGACGGCGACGTTACAGAAAGGCGTTAACCATTGAATTCATTCGGGTCCCAAGAGTTTCTGTTAACTACGATTTTACCCTTCTGAGATCATTCGTTTGGCGGTGGTATATTCGTGTTATTAAATGCCGTAACTGAGGGCATTTTGCGAACACTATAGTCTAACGGAATTCTAACGGAGTTAAGTCTCGCGTCGGCTGTGATGGCTATTACGAATTTAATAGGTGGGAGCCATTGACAACAGTATGACTTGTGAGTGGATATTTATCGATGAATATTGAATACTTTTCCCCGACAGACACGTGAAGTATTGTTTATGTACATTTGGATGTCAACACGTGTCGATATCTTAGCGGTACCAACCTTTTTTTTTTTTTTTTTTTGTGCAAAAAGCGGTACCAACCTTATTTCATGCATGATTTGCATTTTTTTCCTCTCTATACTTTACTAAAAGAAAAGGATTTTTTTTTTTAAGAAACGGATTTTTTCTTTTTTAAGAAAAGGATATTATTGTAATACTTTTGTTTGTAAGTCGTTGTTGTTGTAAGTCTTCACGAGACACCACCGATGCTCTTATAAGTTTCCCACCCCGAATCCTGTCTCTACTCCTAGGCAAAATAGACAAATGGCAAGGGTCCAATATTAGTTTTAAAAAAAATTTTAAGGAAAAAGATCCAAAATATATATTTTTTTAAATTACTAAGAGGTTTTAATTTTTTTTTTTAATTTTGCCATAAGTCTTATTATATATTGAAACGGTACTACCATAGGTTTTGTAATTATTATTTTTTAATTACAAAATGAGTGTAATTAAAATTAGTAGCTTGTGTTTGTGGCTTAGTAGTGAATTGTTGTATCATTAGGATTCAGTTCCATAGAATACATATGTTGTTAAAGTTTATTTTTTTGGGCTAAAGTTATTAAAATTTCTATTTCTCACGATTTCTGTTAAGTCCTAATATGAATTTTGTTATGTGATCAGTTAAATATTACTTCTATAATGATAATTAAATCTTAACCGTTTGGTTTATGAAGTCGAGCGTTGAATTTTCTTTGAATGAGAGGCAATGCCAAAGAGTACCAATAAAGAATTTAAAATAAAATGTCGTAAACGATGGCGCCAAGGGGAAAAAATCATTGTTATTGAATTATTCATCGCAACTTGCAAGATAATTACACAATATTTTGAACTTTGAAGACTCTTCCATATCATATGATTTCAATAGTTGACCAACAACTTGAGTCTAATATATATATATGTACATGTATATATGCGTGTTTTAATTATAAATGCAATGTAGATCCATTGTCATTTTCTAATACTTACAAAAGACAAAAAAATATTCGCAATTTCACATGAAGATTATCTACATTGTTGGAAGCGCAAGTTGGGTTTCGATCACATATTTGATCATAACCAAAATAAGGGAATGTCATATTCTAACAGATTTGATGTGCAAAAATCAAGATTGTGTGAGGATACTACTAAGACTACAAACAAAACCAACGTTAACGGGGAAATCTTTCAGTCATCCACTCGAAGTTGGACTTCAAAACATATATCAATAAAACAATTGTTGTTTTGAGACTAACTGTATGGACATAATCAAGATGATGACAACAATTTTAGGTTTGGTGTGTTAACTTAAGCTTGAGTATTGGGTAACATCTCCTTTAATTTATAGCTAGTGTTACGCCATCTGACCGTGTCTCTGTAACAGTTGGTCTTCGGGTAAGTTTGGTCTGGTGGTGGTTATTCTATGTAACAGTTGTTATCTTCGTAAATATAATGGTACTTATCTGGGAAAAAAACAAATATAGAAGACAATTGAAAGATTATACATACACTCATTTGCATTGACGTGTGATTATACTTAACATAAAATTTAGGGGACGAATATAATGTAGGTCCGTTACAACTTACAACAATGACTAAACAAATTGGTTCTTTGACACCGACTGATACATTGGATGTGAACACCAAAATGTTGCAGCTTCTTCACATGATCCTCTTGTAGTATGACAATAACATATGTGCCTAAAGATTATTACGTTTTAATAACATAACAAGTATGCATAAAACGCGGAACAGGAATAACATTTTTTTAACAATTGCATAATTGAAACCGGATAGAAATGCAACAAGGACAATAATTAAGTCAAACCATTAGAATACATACATGTATGGTCTACAGAAAAATAGATTTTTTTTTCTTAATTAGTTGCATAATAACATGAGTATTAGTGCATTTTACTCATGATACATAACAAACTTATAAATATTCGTTCGATATTCTCATATTTGGAAATGGTTAGGAACTGTAAAAGCTAAAACTAATTTATGATTACATTTGGAGGCGTCAATTTGTCTTAGAGATACGTTTATCTTTTTTTCTTTCTTGTTTTCGGCATAGAGATACGGTTATCATGTTTTTAATAGATGTTAGTACTATATCATTTGCTATGTGATACATTTGACACAAAAAAAATTTTTTGTTGAATGTTATTTAACATAGAATATTCAACTTGATTACATGTTTCTATCGCATTGAATTATAGATTTGCAAATCCATTGCATGGTTTCTATGTAATGTATGTTATTTTCTTACAAAGAAAAAAAAAACAGATTATTATGAGAATTTATTGTACAATGGATTTGGCCATAGATCATAGTTGTCCCGTTGCCGTCATTGCTTTCATTGGCTTATTTGTTCATCTACATGCTCATCAAGCCATTGTGTTCTTTAAAATTTTGACATTGGATTCTTCCAAATAAAGCCAAAACTACTTGTTTTTCCCATAAAATTTATTTACATGGGTTATCTTGTAGTGAAGCGAAATTTGGAGTATCACTTAATAGTAGTTACACGTAACACGTAAAAATATAATTTTTGTTAACCGGGCCTTGTGGCCTAGTGGTAAAGGGGTCACAGCTGTGACTTCCGCCACCGGGGTTCAAGGCACGGCCACTAGCAGGTTTACATAGGGGAATTGCCAGCCTCGTGGGATTAGTCTTTGGGCCTAGGAAGCCTTTGGGAGACCCGCGGTTATTCAAAAAAAAAAAAATATATATATATATATATATATATAATTTTTGATAGTTGTTCACTTGTTGTTACAACACTAGCTTTTACTTGTGTTCTAAGTCACTTGTACATTTAAAACTTATATATAGCCCGTAACGATAATCAACTTTGTCCGAGTTTGGGCTTGGAAATAAAATAAACAGTAGCCATATGGGCCAAACAAACAAGAATGCATATCTACCTGTTATTTATATTCGCTCTTGCTTTTCTCAATCTTGACTCTTTCAACCAACATTCGCGCCATAAGCTCCTAAGTTCCTCTCATCCAATGGATCACAAATGACAAAGAAAAACAAAAGACAGAGAAAACAGAGACAAAGCGAGAAACAAGACAAGGAATACAAAAAAATTAGTAAATCGAATCCCCCCCAAAAAAAAAAAGCTACTTTGGTTAACCAAAAAAAAATAAAAAATAAGAAAAGAGTTTCTTGAAACTCCCGGCGGCCTAGCTCCGGTTAAGTAAATGGCCGTGGCCTGGCTAATCTGGCCGTTCGTGCTATCTCTAACAGCACTTTCTGCGAATTCGATAACCGAATCAGAATCTTTGTTGAAATTCAAGAAGTCATTAACCAACACCAAGTCTCTTGATTCTTGGACACCAGATTCAGAGCCTTGTGGAGAAAGCCAACGATGGATCGGATTGATATGCAACAAAAACTCTGTCTTTGGCCTTCAAATCGAACAGATGGGTCTATCAGGAAAAGTTGATGTCGCTCCATTAAAAGACTTACCCTCTTTACGCACCATCAGCATAATGAACAACTCTTTCTCCGGTGACATACCCGAGTTTAACAGATTAACCGCTCTGAAGTCGCTTTACATATCAGGAAATCGATTCTCTGGTAACATCCCTTCTGATTATTTCGAAACAATGGTATCGCTAAAGAAAGCGTGGCTGTCAAACAACGAGTTCTCTGGTCTCATTCCTATCTCATTGGCAACTACATTGCCAAATCTCATAGAGTTACGCCTCGAAAACAATCAGTTCATCGGAAGTATACCTAATTTCACACAAACGACTTTAGCTATTGTTGATCTATCAAACAACCAACTAACCGGAGAAATACCTCCCGGTTTGTTGAAATTCGACGCCAAGAGTTTTGCGGGGAATTCTGGCCTTTGTGGCGCGAAGCTATCAACTGCATGCCCACAACCAAAAAATTCGACTGCATCGATAACGATAGAAGGAACAATGAAAGATGCAAATAAGAGCAAATACTTTTTAGCATTCGGGACATTAGGAGTGCTTCTTATCGTCGTGCTTGTCTCCTTAGCTTTCCGAAAAAAGAAAAAGAAGAGACGGAGGAAGAAGGCACGGCGTACCTCTGAACAAGACAATAGTGATGACCAACAAATTCAGGTCAGGTTACTTTCACATCTCAAAATATTAAAAAGAGAGTTTTTAAACTTAAAAATCACACAATTTTTTGATATGATTGAGACAGGTAACTGTTGAGGGATCAAATAGCTCAAGGCAAAGTAAGAGCAGTCGGTCCGGCGAATTGAATAAAGGTGTGGCTGGGACGACAGACCTAGTGATGGTCAACAAGGAAAAAGGTGTTTTTGGTTTATCGGACTTGATGAAAGCGGCGGCTCACGTGCTTGGTAATCCCGGCGGAGGAAGCAGCCGTCCTAGCAGTAGCGGAGGCGTGGGATCTGCGTACAAAGCGGTTCTTTCAAACGGCGTCACGGTAGTGGTGAAACGTGTGACAGTAATGAACCAAGTGAGTGTTGACGTATTCGACAAGGAGATTAGGAAACTAGGAAGCTTGCGACACAAGAACATATTAACGCCTCTAGCTTACCATTTCCGACGAGACGAGAAATTGCTAGTGTTTGAATTCGTTCCTAATCTGAGTTTGCTTCACCGATTACACGGCGATCACGAAGAATTTCAACTAGATTGGCCTTCTCGACTCAAAATCATTCAAGGAATCGCTAGAGGAATGTGGTATCTCCATAGAGAATTAGGGTTTTTAAACCTACCACATGGAAACCTAAAATCGAGCAATATATTTCTTGCGGAAGACGGCGAGCCACTCATCTCCGAATTCGGACTTCAAAAACTAATCAATCCAGACGCTCAATCTCAATCTCTCGTTGCATATAAATCTCCAGAAGCGGATCGTGATGGAACCGTCTCTGCAAAATCTGATGTGTTTAGTTTCGGAGTCGTGGTTCTTGAGATCTTGACCGGAAAATTCCCGTCTCAATACGCCGGTTTGAACAGAGCCGGTGGGGCAAATTTGGTGGAGTGGATTGGATCCGCCGTGGAACAAGGTGGTTGGATGGATCTGCTTCATCCGACGGTGGTTACAGCCGCCGCTGAAGATAAAATTTTAGAGGAGGAAATTGAGAACGTTTTAAGAATCGGTGTGAAATGTACCGGAGAAGATCCAGATCAGAGACCGAATATGACTGAAGTCGTCGATGAACTGACTATAGAAGATTCTAACGACGACTTTATCACCATAGAAACTTAGCTTCACCGTTTGATCAATTCCAACCGTTAGATTCATGCAGATTCACCATTTTTGTATTTTTTTTTTTTCTGTTTAAATTTGTATATGATTAAAGAATCAACTTAAGGCTACTTGTAAACAAAAAAGATGTGTTTTTACGTTTTGGGCATAGATTAGTTATCAGTCTGTTTTGCTGTTTTTCATTACCACCACTTGTAAACTTTGGTACTATTAAACACACATCATTAAAGCGATTTGCTGTTTTCATTACCACTTGTAAACTTTGGTATTAAACACACATATCATTAGAGATTTTCTGGTTTACTACCACTTGCAAACTTTGGTATATTAAACACACACCATTAGCGATTATATTATCAATGAAAGTTACGAATTACGAACCAATAATATGCCATATCACGTGTTTGTGTATACGTACGTGATGAAGAAGAAAATTGATAAATTGAATTGTATGACAGCTAAACACAGCTGTAGATTAACGAATCGTGAAATTATTATGTTTTTTTTTTCTATCATAGAAAATTAGAAATAATTAAATTATGGCCAGAATTAAGTTAGCAGACAACAAAAGACCCATCACTGCATTTGATTATTAATCATCACTCATAATTCTATGAACAAACAAATTATACGAGTACGAATAAATTGTATTATTGTGTTAATATAACCATTTTATCTAATACTAGTATTAATATGTTAGATGCAATATATTAGTGGCATTAATTAGAAATCTAACGCACATTGAACCAGGACAAACAAATATGACTTGAGTGAATTTCTCAAACATCAAATCAAGGCATCTATCAGTATAGAGTTACAATAAATATAATTTCGTGATGATTATTAAATGGAAAAATCTAATGACATTTGCTTACCCAATAAATGTTTTGCATAAGATGAGCTGTCCACATTACTGTTTAATAGGACCATTTTGTTATCTTTATAAAAACCTCATCGAATTGAACTCATATTCGTATTTTTAAAATTTAAATTTTTGGATTAAAAAGTCTTAAGAAATTCTCACTGGCTCAATCCAGCAGAGCACCACTCGTGCAACATTATTTTTCTTCTATTTGTAAATTGACCTCCATGTTTCTCGACTGTCCCATATCAATAATATAAGATAATTAATAATGTTTCCCACTGTAATTTCATGAAACAAAAACTAGTACACTATTAGTTTTCTCAATAAATTATACGGCTCAACATTAATATATGCCCATATGTATATTATTTGCTCGACAAACAAACGATAATTATTTGAATGATCTTATATCCCACATAAGAGCAAAAGAATGATATTAATTCATGAAAAAAGCAATTAATACAAGTGTTTAGAAATCCAGAAAACATAATTGAAGTATCTCTTTTTTTTTTTCCTCTATTTTGATTTTTGAAGTATCTCTTTTGTTGTGAAAGTTATATAAATAAAATTTGTCATACTAACTTCACCGTGAATCTTTTAAAAAGGCATAATGCATGGGAAATCGGGTGCAAGCACGTGAATGTCGGCCCATTGCAGCAGTCGAATAGTTGACTTGCTTCATATGATTCTTATTATTAAACAACACATTTTATTTATCCTTTTGAACTCTTTAACCAGTTTAATAAAAATTACATTGTTAGTTACCTTACATTTAATTTGTAAAATGTTTTTTTTTCCTTTTCTTTTTATTATTATGATAGTGGAAACCTTTTATCTAGTTTAAGAAATCTCATAATTTTACATTATATTTGAAATTCAATTTCGAAAGATTGCACATTTTTTAGATTATGAATACAAATTTATTAGGAATTCTAAAATATTGTAGGCAAAGCCGTCTATTGTGATCTTGTGTTTTATAAAAAAATATGTTTATCGGATATTGTATATATATAATATCTATCGTAGATCCGAGTGTTATATAGAGAAAACTGTATGATAAAATTATTATTTATAAAAATTTTATATATTATATAATATTTCTTATCAAAAAAAAAATTAAATCAAATATTTTTATGATGATGTAATAGGTAACAAAATAAAACTATAACAAATCGTAAATTTCAAATTAATGTTTGCAATTTATAACTGAATTTTGACAGTTTTTCGTAAATATCAAAATGTTCTATTTAACTTGAAAAAGGCGCTTCCCATGGCGGTTAAAAGCTGTTAAAAAGCATCTTAAAAATATAAATTTTGGATGTATTTGTTTATTTAATTAATTTTTCAAAAAAAAAAAAGCATCTAAAATTCTACTGTTGGTTTTTATTTTATTTTTCCCAGTCTCCATCATAAAAAAGAAGAAGTCTCTCTGTTTTACACTTTTTGTTTCTTTCTCTGTGTTTGTATTATTCTCATGAAACAATGGAACCACATGAACAAACTCACAGCGGCGACGGAGGAGGTGGAGGAGACTGTTCAGTTTCCGGATTCGACTCGGCTGAGAAAGTCATCATCCGATGGGACGCAACGGCGTCAGAAGAAGCAAGAGAGAAGATGATATTCAACGATCCACAAGAAGTTAAGCTTTTCCTCAACGCCGTCGATGAAATCCAAAAGTTTGTATCTTCCGGTGGAGAAATTGAGAATCGAGCTAACTCAGCTATCCAGATCGCTATGGCTCGTCTCGAAGACGAGTTCCGGAATATTCTCGTTTCTCATAGTTCTCCGATCAACTCTGATTCGTTAATGTTGTCGTCTTCATCTTCTTCTCAGCTTGAGGTTGATGAAGATGGAAGTAGTAGTAATAATGGTAACGAAGAAGATGAGCAAGAGGAAGAAGAAACGGATCTTCTGAAACGATCCGGTTCGAGTGCAAGTACCGGTTCAGCGGCGGTTCGATTACCGACGGGGAGAGGTAGTTACAGTAGATCCACCAGTAGTATACGCGAGATCGAGCTGATTCCGATCGAATCGGTGATTCATCTGAGCTGGATTGCTCGGCGAATGGTCTCCGCCGGTTATCTCCGTGAATGTATTCAAGTGTACGGAAGCGTTCGCAAATCCGCCGTTGATTCGAGTTTCCGGCGGTTAGGGATCGAGAAACTTAGCATCGGAGATGTTCAGAGGTTAAACTGGGAAGCGCTTGAGCAGAAGATCCGTCGTTGGATCCGAGCTGCTAAGATCTGTGTGAGAGTTGTCTTCGCGAGCGAGAAATTGCTCTGTGAGCATGTTTTTGAAAGCGTCGGAGCTGTCAACATCCACGAAGCTTGTTTCATGGAAACCGTTAAAGGTCCGGCGATTCAGCTGTTTAACTTCGCGGAGGCGATTAGTATCAGCCGGAGATCGCCGGAGAAGCTTTTTAAGATCCTTGATCTACACGACGCTTTGATTGAGCTATTGCCGGATATCGAGTCGGTCTTCGATCTGAAATCTTCAGATTCGATTAGAGTTCAAGCGGCGGAGATATTATCGAGATTGGCGGAAGCGGCGAGAGGGATATTATCGGAATTCGAAAACGCCGTTCTCCGTGAACCTTCTAGAGTTCCAGTTCCTGGAGGTACGATACATCCATTGACGAGGTACGTGATGAACTACATTAGCTTGATCTCAGAGTATAGACCAACGTTAATCGATCTCATAATGTCGAAACCATCGAGAAACTCAACGGATTCAAACACTCCAGATTTCGATTTTTCGGAGTTAGAGAACAACAAAGGTCCATTAGCACTTCATTTGATTTGGATCATAGTGATCCTGCAATTCAATCTTGAAGGCAAATCAAAGTACTATAAAAACGCAGCTCTATCGCATCTTTTCATCATGAACAACGCACATTACATTGTTCAGAAGATTAAAGGGTCGCCGGAGTTACGGGAAATGATCGGTGATCTTTACTTGAGAAAGCTAACGGGTAAGTTTAGGCAAGCTGCGACGTATTACCAAAGAGCTGCTTGGGTTAAAGTCTTGTATTGTTTAAGAGATGAAGGGTTACATACGAAAGGAAGTTTCTCATCAGGTGTTTCCAGAAGTGCGTTGAGAGAGAGGTTTAAATCTTTTAATGCTTTGTTTGAGGAAGTTCATAGGGTTCAATCACAATGGTTGGTTCCGGATTCTCAGCTGAGGGAAGAGCTGAAGATTTCGATATTGGAGAAGCTTAGTCCAGCTTACAGATCGTTTCTCGGGCGGTTCAGGAGTCACATAGAGAGTGGGAAACACCCGGAGAATTACATCAAGATCTCAGTCGAAGAACTAGAGACCGAGGTTCTTGACTTGTTTGAGGGGTGTTCTGCAACTCAGCATCTGAGAAGACGATCCGAGTGAGAGAGATAAGTATTTATTATTTTTTTCTTCTGAAGTTTTAGAGTTTTACGGAGACAGATTCTTTGAATTCTTTTCGCAAATTCGGGTTCTTTGCGGGAGAGCCAAAAACCGAGCAAGAAAGAAAGAAGGATTGATGATACGACTTTGATTTTTAAGTTTTCAGATTCATGAGTTGTAATGTTGTATGAACTTATAATATATCTGTTTGGTTACTTGCCAAATTCTTAGCTTATATCCTTCTTGTTCATATAAGTTGTTTTGTCTCAATGTCAAAGACTTCAAGCCCTTCGTACGCCTTATTTGGGGTGTTTGGTTTTGGTTATGGTTTTCTCCACGCTTGTGATAGACCAATGCATATGTTACAAGAAACCAAACATCAATCTATAATGCAACTTATGAAATTGAAATTTAAACATTACAAAAACAGAGCACACACAAACTAACCCCAACTAACACTACAACACCGAAGACAAAGGGTGATTTGGTTTCTTGACCTTTGTATTGTACAAACTAAACTCATGTGACCTAAAAGAATACATGTAGTAAAATTGAGGGTGTTGATATAGAGAATGGATTATCAAGTAGATGATTGTGACTGTTGTCACTACTTTATTCCCTTTTGTCTTCCTCCAAATCTTTTTCTGGTTCTCCTTCGTCCGCTTGTAAAAGTCTGGTTTCTGAGAGGTTCTTGACATCGTGAGAAGGAATTGGAGATGGTTTAATGAGGGTTAGTGTGTAATCGTCCTTCTCAAACTCCGCGCTTGTATCTACAGAAGATCCAGAGAATGCGTACCTATAAGAAAATAAGAACGGTACAAACAATCAGATGCCGTGCTATTGGCTATTCTGCAGTGTAATTCACATTTAGGCTCAATGACTATTGATAACAACTGACGAACATCAAAGGTCATATCGATGTTCTTCTTGGATTTGGCATTACCTAGTTGAGTTCTGAGATGGAGCCCAGAGAGAGCAGATAACAAGTAGGAGCGAGAAGGAGAGCAGTTGCCAAAAGGCCGGGATGATCCAAGCATTCTGCCAATGTTCGTTGTAAACATCCTTTGATTTGAAATAAAGCTGCCAAAGTCAAAAGCTTTAGTACAGATCTTTTTCTGATTTTGAATTAGAACAATCCAATGGTTCTTGCACTATTGGGATTAAAGACAGTTTGCTATAATATTACCTCGTAGCAAATCCAACCCAAGGAAACCAAAATGGCTACAGCCAAAGCATTTGTGAACTTTCTGTATATATCCAACTTGACCAACAACCTTCTGGTCTGAAGCTTCTTGAACGTAGCAGAAAGAGATTTGAATATCCATATGATGAAGAACGCATCCAATATTGCAACAGGAAGGACGAAAAACAGTCGAGCTTTCCCTGAGAGATCACTGACAGCACCGACATTTTCCATCAGCTCAAGAATTTCAGATGCAATAAAGAAGGTGACCCCAAGCATGATAACCTTTGATGTGAAACCCCCGAGCGTAGGTCTCACAACACCGTAGCCCATTGAAACCATCAGGATGATAATACGAGCACTTGTACGCTTGATAGAACCGAACGTGACTGCCCAGATGGTGATGACGGTTGGTCTGATCCCAGTCTCATTGAATTCAGCGTAATCAAAATACCAAAGTGCCATCTCACACATCCCCAGTGTTATCACCAAAGTTAAGCAATTCTGCAACGGAAGCACTTCCCTCCAGAATCTAGCACACTGCGAGAACCAGAAAATGCCAAGCAACACAAAAGCAAGCGACATGAACCCGTAAAAGTACATCAATGGAGCCATCCTACCAGGTAGATATCCGGTAGGGTTTTTCCAAATGGTTTTCCCTTCAACAACCAAATCCTTGAGATCAGAATCACAATGAATGAAGTAGAGGTTGTACATCCCGGTCCTAGTGACCTGGATCGATCTTGTAGGCAGCGTAACAGACAACTCATTCTCAGCAAACGAGACACCAAACACTTGTGGCCAACCAGAATCTTTAGCAGAAGGGCGGTAAATGACATCTCCGTGAGAACAAACACCGAGTTTCGCCAGATCAGATGTGCAACACACAGCTCTTTGCCCACCATAAGCAGATCCTCCAATGTTTTCCCGGTCCTCTACCTCGAAAACCACGGCTTGGACAGGTAATGAGGATCTGTTAGATACTTCCTCAGGCCTCTGAAACTTGATCTTCTCAAACCTGTCAATAGCATTGCGCCGTGGGATTAAGATTTACACACAACGAGTTTCAAATTAAGAAGCTTTAACAGCAGAACAGCTAAAGAAGCTACTCAAAGAACTAAACAAGCTTGGAACTTGACGATACTTGTTTATCTATAAGATCCAACGCCGTAAAGTAACAATCTTCCAACTAACAATGACCCAATTGACGAACATTGCACTTAATGAATTGTGATTACAAATCAGATCCTCCTAAGTAGATTTAAAAGAAGAAACTTTGTCTGACCCTTATATTAAAGAAATGGAAATCAGAGAGCTAAGAAAACCCTGAAATTACCGGATAAAGGAAGCGGCATCGAACTCGGAAGTGAAGTTATCAGAGGGAGAAGAAGAGTAGATGCCTTCACTGCCACCATGGAAGACAAAGGCGTTACCTTTAGAAATGAATCTCTCGTTTCGGTACTCATGCACCGACGCTTGGACTATCAAAGAAGAAGTCAGACAAAGCAGAAGAAGAAGATGGAGCAACATTGTAAACCCAATTTGTTGCAGAGATCTGAAGAAAGAAAGGAGAAAGAGAGCGCAGGTGCTGATGACTGAAGAAGTCAGTGAGAGCTGAGATGTGTCAAAATGGGTCGGTTGATCGGACGGCTGTTAAAGGTTGCACCTTGATCGTTCTCCAGAGATAGATGATCCACAATATGAAAGAAAGCGTTTAGTTGGACTAGTAAAGCCTCTAGACTAGATAGAGGGTTTGATATTTTAGTAGCTGACAATTATTGGATGGGCCTTCGTGTGCCCAATAAACTGTCCATGGAAACTGGATTTTTTTTTTTTTTTCCTGAATTTTATTATAAATTGCAAATTATGAAAACCGGTATATAGACGATTTTATTTGGACTTTATTAGATCTATACGACATATTTTACTTCATTTATGATGAACATTTTCAATGATCAAAGACCTGACGATATTTTATTCTCCATGTTTATGATGGATACCTTCAATGCATAAAATCACAGTGACTGGAAGATTTTACTTTTAATTTTTTATAAATTTGTTAATTTCTAAGATTATCGAGTGAATCAAGATGTTCTGGGAGACAAATATATGTTGTGTGGATTGCAAATTAATGTTTATAGCTGCATATCTTCAAACTATCAAGTTCATGTTGACCAATGAGTCTCTAAAATATAACAATAGTTACAAGGCTAAGAAAAAAGGTATTATTAATCTGAATAGTCTTGTGTGTTACAAGAAGTAAAAAGAGATTACAGAGCATGTTAAAAAAAAAAGGTCTTTCTATAAACCAAAGGTTATCCACCTGAAAATACACAACTACGTGCATACATGTATATATCATCTATCTTTATAATATACACACATACGCATACAAATATCTCATGTACTATCTGATGTTTTAGTTCCCAAAACATGTTTTGGTTTTATGGACCCAACCATGCAAAAAAAGGGACTCATGGGCTCTCTGCAGATAGAGAGAGACCCAAAAACTTCCATCAGAAAGAAAATGATGAAATTGATTGGAATGTTTTGAATTTTCTTTGTCTTGATCGATATCATTGAAGATTCTCTATCTGCAAAAACATAAGATCTAATATCAGATTCAGCTTTTAGATGCAAAGCAAATGTAATTAAGATTTTTTGTTCAGCTTAATTATTACCTGTACTTTCTTGAAAGAACATGAAAAGGGAACAGTGAATCAAATATTCAGATCTCAAGAACAATGACTGCAAAACAAAAACAAGAATATTGAATCAGTTCATGTTATTTTTGTTTTTTTTCTTGTTTCATCTTGTAAGAAATCAGAAGATCTAAAACTCACAATCGGAATCTGTTTTGACCCATTTACCCCCATCGCTACTACTTCTTTCTTCTTCTTCCTCATTCTTCAAAGAAAGTTGTTGCTTGTCTTGCAAGTATTTTTTCGTTGATGTTTGCTTTAAAGAAGTTTGAGTGTTTATTTTCTTGTGTAGCATCATTCTCAGCAACTGTATATACAGTGTAAATAATCAGAGACATGGAAAAAAAAACTAATTAAGTTTGAAATCGTGATTATATATGAATTTTAATTAGCAGTACCTTCTCCATTCTTGTTTCTTGAAACGTGTCTCTCAAGCTAGGGCTAGGAACTGGAGAGAAACCCTCTGTACAGACAAACATCTTCTTGAGAAGATGAGAAACAGAGGTTTTGCTCAAGTCTCTCTTACTCTTCTTCGTCTTGTTCTTGCTCTCTGTCGAAATCGCCTTGCATCTCCCTAAGATAACACTGATTGTACGCTCAATGTCTTCTTCCTTCTCATCACAAAGCGCGTTGCTGATTCTTCTATCGACCTCAAGACTCGAAGGACAATTCAAGAATCTATCCAAAGGAAGATTCGCCAATTCTCGATTCACATCAGACTTCCTCTTCTTGCTCCTTCTCGTCAAGAGTTTCGTCAGCTCCTTCTGCAGTTTCCCAACTTCCTCTGGAGTGAAATCTTCTTCTAGATCATCGGTTGAAGAAAGTTCTTGATCTCTATCTTGTGCTTGACCTTCCACTTTAGACACCGTCTCTTCTTGAATCTCTTCTTGATCAACTTTTTGTGATGTCTGCGCTTTGTTACCGAACGTTCCAATCGCGAGTAGTCCATGAGGCCAATCGCTAAACTCCTCTCTCGGTTGATCTTGTTTACATAAAACAAAATAAAATAATCAGAGAGCCAATCAATGTATAGGAGAATAGAATGTTGGGAGGAGTATTTTTGCAATTGCACATGTCCCAAGTAGACAACAAGTTTGGTAATAAAAAAAAAAAATGGTTCTCAACGAATAAGTAGACAATAGAATTTAATTAGTGTAATCTTGAACTTACGAGAAGAAACAGAGGATATGCTTGGTCTATGAGTATTAATCCCTTGTTTCCCATGTAGCTTGTTCTGCATCCACCCGAAGAACTGAAGAAAAAATATATATATTTATGAGTGATCATGTTACACTATTAATTTGAGAAATCAATGAACCATATCATAAGAGTACACGAACCTTCATGTCTTAATGACCAAGAAGAAAAAAACGAAATGAAATATTCAGGTTTCTGGTGAGTCAAGAAGTTTATATAGAAGAAGAAATTCAAAGACTTAAGATTTTTAATTCTTTTTGATGAATTTGATGGTTCAAGTTCCGAAATGACGGCCTTAGTTCTTCGTCCAGATTCACTTCTTCGAAAGAGAAAGAAATAAGGAAGAAGGAAAAAAAAAGTTTTTCTCTAAAGAAGAAAATTCTCGGAGTTGGTTTTGGTTAACTTGGGTTCAGATACTCACACTCTTCTTTATAGTTCATACCAGCTCACGACGTACGAGTCATATTGACGCACATGTCCCCATGCAAACGATCGAGGTCCAAAGAAACATTCTTCGGTGCATAATATTTAATTTGTATTATATCTTTAATTAATTTACCAGAGTATTATAAAAATATTAGTTTTGTATCAAAAGAACGTCACGGCTTTGATCATAATTCATATAACGGCACTTCATTTCATCAAATAGCCTCAAATTAATCTCTTTTCACCATTTTTCGACTATCTATAAAAGGAGAGGAAATTTATATTGAATCCCTAGAAACCATTTTGTCTCGTCATTGAATGGTTACTATGCTGACACGAAGATATAGAGGTTTCTACACATTTTGTTATTTGTGTGTGGTTTTCGGGGAAATTTACATTTTTAATAGATTTCTTGAAAGTAGCTTAAAAAGAATTTAGGAAAAAATATCTTTCAAATACAAATCAAACGTCAACAAATATTTTCATGAAATATATATCGTTTTAAGTATGACCTCTTACTGTGAAACGTATTATTGACCAAAAAAATTGCACTCTAAAGCTTTGATCCATAAGTAATTCTTAAGAGCAAAAACTAAATATGTAAACTATTTATTGTAAGGCTGATATCAAATTATAGAGCATTTCAGAAAAATCTAAGATGGAAAGAGCCAGAAAGAAAGAGAGAAATAAAAAAAAGCAAACCCCACGAAGCAACTCATGCCATTGTCCCCTTACCCTCTGGATTTCTCATCTCTATCCATTTTATTTCCATCAAATAATTGCATCTTATGTTGTGGGCGTGTAACGCATTTTGATCTAATCATCGATATATTACACTTTTCATGGTACCACGTTAGCATTACAAAGCCTTATGAGAAATGTATACTAATCCCAGATTTTATAAGTGAAAATTATTCAGAATGACCTACATTTTAATAGAAATAACTAGATTGACTCTGTTTTGAAAGATATAACTAGAATGACTCATATCTTTTGTAAAAAGACCTTCTAACCTGTTTCTACGTTATAATAACGAAATTGCCATTTTTATTTAATTTTGAAACAAAAAAAATAAAAATCATTTTTATATCACCAAAAAAAAACAAAATCCAAAACATTTTATCTCTTCTTCTTCGTTTCTTCGTTGCCCTCTTCTTCGCTATGTTGCTTCTCCCTCCTCCGTCAGATCGTCGCTTCTCTCTTCTCCACCGCTTCTACTTCATCTTCTTAGGTATTATCCAAAACAAAATCCAAAACTTCTATCTTTTTTTTTATCGACCAAGTCTGTGCACATCTAAAAATAACATTATCGACTTTTATGTGATGGTATTATCACCATAAACTATTGACGATACTGGTACAGTGGTACTTTTTTTTTTAACGCATCATCCGTTTAATAATATGTTTTAAATAATTTTGTATTCAAGTATTTAAAAAATGTTAATTTGATCAATACATCTTAATTTTGATACTTGCATTAAGTTTTTTTTTTTTTAAGTTTCAAAACGAAAATTTGAATTGAATGAAAATGGTGTGAGTGTGACAACCAAAAAAAAAAAAGATTTGAATGAAAATAAAGTACTTTTGAATTTATGATACCTGAAATTCACTATATAGTCAATTTAAATACTATGGTAAATTGATTTTTTTGACAGATTTTAGTAGATTTGATACATAGTATACACAGTTATGGAAAGACTGAAATAACCATACGATTTGGTATATTTTATAATGACGGTAACTAAAAATCCATTAATAAAAAATCAAGTAAAAATATTTTTCTTAAAATTTCTGTGTCAAAACTTAATTTTTAATTTTTTCATAATTTTAAGTGAATTTAAATAAAAGGAAAACTACAAAAAGCAGAATGAGAACTGAGAAAGAAAAAATAAAGAAAGAAGAAGAAGAAGAAGGAGACAAAAGGAAAGCAAAAAAAAGCAGTCTTGCTTTATCATCGGAGAGTTGAGCCCACCGCACCACTTCCAATCACGTGAACTCTGGTCCAATCGACATATGCCACGTCGTGCCTGCCCTTGCCTTTTCCACTTGTCTTTAATTAAACTATTTTGTTGATTTAGTTGCGTTTACCAAAAAAATATATGAAAAAACAACTGAAACTGTTTTAAGAAATTCAAACTAAAAAAATACTCTTTCTATTTCATAATATAAGATATTTTTTTAAAAAAAATTCAATGTGTTACATATCAATAACATTTTATAATTATTTATATTATGTGGTAGCATATACAGCTGAATAAAATGTCCATTAGATTTGTTTGAATCCAAAAAAATTTGATATCTGTAATTGTACGACACAAATCAAATACTAAAATCGATATCCGTTAAAAACAGAGTAAATCATAAATACAAAATTTTCAAAAGACGAATATCTACTCTACCGTAATATTTAGATATAGGTGCTTATATATTTTTGCACAAAAAAAAAAAAGGTGCTTATATATATACCGTATAATGATTTTCTTAGATTAATTATTTAAATATTTAAGTGAAGAAAATAAAATATAGTGGAAATTTTATCATTTGGGATTAAATCTTAAAATTTTATATATTTCTGTAATTATATTTTAAATTATCATTTTGGGTTGTGTAATTACTCTAGTAAAAAAACATAAGAAAATAAGGACGTGGCTTGAGGGAAAAGGTTGGGTAACGGTGGGTCCAATTATACAACCTCTTTCCCAAAGGGGTCGGGTTGACTTTCAACGGCTACTACCAATTCCACATGCTCTAGATTAGAAGATAGAGCCAATAGCCAAAGAACTCGAGCAATTTATGCACCAAAATCCAAGAGATTTTCATTACTTTCTATAGATTTATTTATTCGGACTAACTGTATTATTTATATACTACTAAATACTGTAACATGTATTTTTCTTTTTTACATATAACATACTCCCCCTCTGTTCCTAGATATTTGATGTTTTAGGTTTTTTTCTTGTTCCACAAAGATTGATATTTTGTAATAGCATCATTACTATTTTTATTTGTGACCAATAGAGAAAGGAGAGAAATGAAATTAATATTATTAAACTAATAATAAAACAATAAAATTTATAAAAATAACTTTTTCTTAATTAATGTGTAAAACTCAAAACATCACTCTTGTAAGAACAGAGGGAGTAATTTATGCTGGCTATATGTATAACGGTATAAATACTAAGAAATACAATGTTTGTTAATCAAATACATTGCTATGCATGTGATTTATTAATAGCAAAACAGATTCTAATCTATTTTCTATGCATCGATGTTGGTAATTCTAACACAATTATACAGATATATAACATAATTTAAGGGAATTACGAAAGTCCAATAGCGTTTCATGTTACGAAATGAACTAACATCATTGGAGGAAACATGCATATCTTATTTTGTCCCCATAAAACTTTGTTTTTACTTTATCTTCTTCTATTGCCTTCTCTTCTTTGATTATAATTATATCATTAGATATTAACAGTATCTTGAGAGAAGATCCAGATTAATTAACATAAACATATCGAAGTGTTTGTGGCGACTTGACTCTAAATGGTACATTGGTATTAAAAAAATGAGAGGGAAATGAGGAGAAGAAATGAATTGCGGACCACATAAACCGTCATTATTGGAAATAATATGTGGTTTATATGGTTGATACGTTGCCTTAAACATTTGCTAATCGTGATTAACAACATTTGTGATGTCTTTGTGATTTTAAACAGAACACGTGTAAGGCATCTGAATAATTTATATGCAACTGATCAAATTACTGAAAGTACTTATGTACTACTAATCTAGCCACAAAAAAAATAAGAGTACTAATATATATACATATCAATTGATCGTCATGCAACTCGTCAGCGTGCCATTCGTTTAGGAAGTGAGATTTTCTCTTTTACGGTTACAGAATAGATTACTCGTTAATTACAAATTGTGTATTCAAAACTATGTTACAAATTTTAAAACAAGAATTGTTACAAAATGAAAGGATAATTTTTACATGTTTCGGGGATTAATGAGGAATCGTTGAATCGACTTCCATCATCTACGAAAATTGTTGTGGTTTTTTTTTTTTTGCCAGTGAAGTCTTTAAGCTGTCGTAATACTCGAATTTTTACATGTTTCGGGAATTTCTTTAGATTTCATAAAACACAAAATGAAAGTTAAGAATATAAACTTTGACAGGGGTCTTAATAGTAATCACCAAATTAAGATGCAAAAAGGGTTTTCAATTACTCAATTAGAGAGAGGGAGAAGAGAGAGCTAGAGATATACATCGAGATAAGAAAAACAGATAGAAGAAAGCAGAAGAAAATGGGGAAGCACGTGAAGTGAGCATGACGAGGTCTCTTTGTGTTTTGTAACCTTTCCATAAGTATACTAAATCTTTCCATTTCTGGAATGTTTTCTCTCTACCGCTTCCTTTCTAAATCTACTCAACTCTCTCCCTTCTTCAATGACCTTTTGCCAATAGAATTACTGTCCTATTTTAATAGTATATCTAAACAGATCATTCTCATTGGATCTGAAATCTCTTTGTCTATAAGTCAATACAGGCTAATCTAATCTTGTTAGAGATACTATAAGATAACAATGTAGAAATTTGTTTGCTGTCTATTGGTTATTGGTACTTGTTCTTCGTCGTCTGTCTTTGAACCTGAGCACCGAGTTTGAATTTGGATATGATCACCGATTATGATCCTCTTCCCAATTTTTTTTTTTTTTTACAAAACTATATATAAAGTGGTTGCCTAGTTGTAATTGATTTATTTTGCTTACTATCACGATCATAGTACAGCTTGATTCAAATGTATATATATTATAAGATCACCTAATATTATTGTAAAGGGCAGCAATTATGTAAACTACACATAGAATATGGCGATCACATTATTTTTATCAAAAGTATTAAGCAACAAGCCAACAACTAATAAAAAGTTAATAACCAGATCATTGGTGCATTTGGTGTTTTAGTGGTTTCTATAAGTTATGAGGCATTTGGTTCAATAATGAGACATGATTTGGTGTTCTTAGCGACGATAAATGTATCGACTAGATTCTATGGTATTGGATCAGTGTGATCGGCTTGAATGGATCCTAAATCCAAAAGATGATACATACCAAATTGGGTGAGGAAGCTAATCCAAGACTACATCTAAAACATTTCACAATAAAAGAAGTTGATCATCCCTTTCATGATGTTCCCTAACAAAATCATCGACATCTTGTGATAAGTCTTGTTGTATTCTTTGTTGTCACATACAGGTTTTGTGCAACTAAATTTTTTTGATAAGTTCTTCTTTTTTCTTTTTTTTTAACCTTGAGCTCATCCAA